TAAAAAGAAATGTTAAAGAATTGACGCACCTTAAACTTAGGGTGTTGGTTGACAGCCAAGCATATGATATCGTCGGTGTGGTCAAGATAGAATGACTGTATTCCATTAGCTGTGCTCAGAACAATTCCCGCCCCGGCAGCGTGGTACACAATGTCTCCCTCAGGGAGGTAGTGTAAGTTGTTCCTGGTGTCAAATCCTCGATAGCCGTGAATGAATTCCAAACTGAGTTCCTGTGGATTGGAAATGAAACGATTTGCATTAGAACAATAGTTAGAGCTAATATGGGACTGACTAGTTACAATATTTGCCTCATCAACATCAGCGCTTTAGTTTGTGGTTGAGCTACAACTATACCAGGTCCGAATAAAAACTGAAATTCTAAAAAGAATTCGCGCTTTTGCCACCCAGAAGTTAGGCAGTTTCTGAAAGTTAACATCTAATTCAATATTACACCAAAAGGACTCGCACTTTCATCAATACTAAGTTTAAAACACTCGTATGTGGCAAGATCTAGAAGCTTTCTCTATGCAATTTGTACTTTCTCGAACTTTTTTTCCCTAAAATGACTAAGTGAAGCTGGGAATATAATTTTGTTGTCAATAAATCAATTTGTATAACCTGGATTTGTTGATTTCTTCTTTTCTTTCCCGAGTCCCTCTGCCGATCAAGCTGTCTGACTTTAGGAGGAGCTTTAGAGCCACGACTAACAGCAGGTCTATCACCAAAAAAAAAAAAGAAAACATAATATTATTATTAAGAATCAAAAGAAATATGCAGTAATCTTGGCGAAAATGAGTCCAGCGTTAAACGAGAGTACTCAAACTGGTAAATCACTTGTCAAGTCAAAATAAAATTAAACTTAACCGTGGAGGTGTTTGAAAACGTGTTCTCAGAGCATTGGTTTTTGAGATTTTATTTCTGCGTCAGTTTTTGTCTTCGTTTAAGTTTTGATTGAGACGATACCTGAACCACTCCAGCCAGTGTTCTACTGTCACATTCCAAATAAATTCCTCGAATTAGAGTACGCTGTGCATCGTAATTTCAACTCTTTTCTTGACGTTTGGAAATGTGACGAGATACTGTCTCTCGTGTTTCACATTTTACTTCAAGCTCGACGAGGGTTTTCTCTCGTTTGTGAGGCAGATGATGTAAACTCTCGCGTACTCTCAACTTTGCGCTGACAAGTAGAACAGGTCCTACAAAACAGTTGACTACAATGCAAAGTATGACAACCAACCTATGTTCCTCGTCATCTTGCTTCTCTCTAAGATGTGGTTTTACGCCTTTTGTAGTTCGAATCGGATTTGCATAAATCTTATCCTCGTATGTCAGATTCTTTTCTTTCTGCACGTCACTGTCGTAGCCTCCCTCTTCCTCCGAGTCTGTGTCCGAATCATCACTGTCGCCACCAGTGTCTTCTCTTTCACGGCCCCGAGCATGTGACCACACCATGACTGACGTGTCGGCTCCTCCCACTGAAATCAAGCGGCTGTCGTCATTTGTCCAGCGGACATTTGTGACATGCGCAGAATGGCCGACATATTTCTTAAACTTGGCATTCTTGCCCTGGACAAGAAATTTAAATTGAGGCATTCTGTGATAACAATTAATTTAAGTGTCATCCTGATAGAAGAACACTCGTGTTCACATTAAAAGGAAGTACTGAAATGAAAATTGAAGGTCTCTGGTGCCTAACAACTGGTTAACCAACTTGTGTTTTCTGAATGCCGAAAACTTCCTGCTTATAAGCCCCCCGATTATAGACCCATCTGCCTGTAAACAAAATATTTATTAATACTTCCGATTATAAGCCCCTCAGGATATATCCCCTCTAGTTTAAAATGAAGTGAATTCGATTTATTATGATGCTTTAACGCTTAGTTAAAAACCAGCAAACGTAAGACGTACTTCGATCAACACTGCTGTAGCTCTCATTTCGAAAAAGGCTTTCTCAGTTCGCTTATAAGCCACCCCCCTCCCCCCGTCCCCCAGATATAAGCCCCTCCGTTTATAAGCCAATTCAAAACCCACTACGAAGTTGTATAAGCCCAGGACTTATAAGCGGCAGTTTACGGGGTATGTTTGAAACGCCTGCTATGCCACTTACCTGGACTGGGTACTCAAACACCTTCACAAATCCAAAGTCATCTCCGGTGGCTAGGATCTTCTTATCCTTGGTCAAATCAACCGCGTTCACATCAGTAATGTCTGAGTGTGGCGGCCAGATTCCCGTGCAGTCTTCACCAAGAACACCGGTCCATGTGAACCAGTCAATCTCTTTAGCTTTATTGGTGGCTATTGTTTGACGCGTACCGCGGGGCGCCTCAAAGAACAGCCGCTCCTTCGCTCCAGAGTTGGTTTGAAGAAGCTTTCCTGCAGTAAACGGTATGAAACACATATGTGAAGACTAAGGACCCGACCACACTAACCCGTTTTCGTATGAAAACGCACACGTTTTGATGTGTTCTCGCCTTTCGTCCAGACCAAAACGCTCGAAAACGCTAATGAAAACGGAGGCTTTCGAAAACCGTTACAAAAGTGAAGCCTTTTGAAAACACATCGTTTTGAAAACGCTCCGTTCCTAGTGTGGAGTAGGTGAAAACAAGGGCTTTTGAAAACGATGCCGAAAAAAGTGTCATATACTGTTAATCTGATCAGCGTTTTCGGTCGTTTTAGTGCAGACGATAAGAGACGAAATCGCATTAGCCTGGTAACGGCCTAAACCATCCGGTATCCCAGAAAAGCGTGTCTAGAATATCAATTAGGATCACTCACTACACATAGTGTGTGACCGTTCAGCAAATTCAACTAAAAGCTACTGAGTTGTACTTTCATGTGGTGCAGTATGCTGTGCATGGTGGTTCTAACTTTTAAGTCTGTGGATGAAACCCTAGTGTGTGACCATTCAAATGAAAGCTATTGAGCATTTCTTTCATGTCGCGCTATACGTTTTTCCATTTCTTAAAGGGAAAATACTTAATTTACAAATTTTTATGCTCTCGATAGATCTAGGGTAAGATATCTAACAAAGTGAAGCACAGGGATTTCAAATTTAAAATCGAGATACTGACAGTCTATACCAGCATGGCCGCATTTCAAATGTTTATAAGGGGAAATCTCTTTGCACCCTGATCGCGGGACTACTTTAGTTGAACACACACACTTCTTCCGCTCACTTGTAGATGAATAATTAACAAACGAGTCTCACAGGCGTAAAGAGAAATAATAAATTAATCAGTAACTTACCTTTGGAGTCCCAGTCCACATGTGTAATGTAACTCGAACTTCCTTTACAGATTCCCACTCGTTTGCTACTCAGTACATTGTAAATGTCCACAAAATTATCATGTGAAGCAACAGCCAGATATTTTCCTTGACCTGTTAGGAGAAATGATTAACAACTTACAAGGAAGTCGAGCAAAATCATAAGCGAGACTGCATGACATTACCGCTTTCTTCTTTTCCGTAAAATCTTTTCTTTTGCTTTGCTGTAATTTACTTCCACGATCAACTACAAACGGCACGAAACAACCCAAACAACCGTGAACGATTTCGTCCCATCTCTGTAAACAGCTTTTAAAATGCGTTTATAAATTAGTGCTTACCAGGTGAAAACTTGATGTCTGATATTTCCTCTTTCCTGTGATGAAAGCCAACAATGTCGTCCAGCGTTGTAGAATCAACAACTTGAAAACTACCTGTGAGGCAAGACAAGAACATATGCCAGTGTTTGAAAATCCCCTCTTGGCCTCACAACCCAAGAACATACAGCCTCCTGTTTGGTATCCATATGGTATCTATATGGGTTGCTGGTGCTACCTCTTCTTCCAGCAACAAGCCAGGAGCAACAAGAATAGGGGTGATACTCTATTTCCCTCAAAGATTATTTCCAGTCCGTACTGCGTAGTCTCATCACCCTAATGTTTTTAAGTCTCACTCGATGGAATGCTAATCCATGTTATTCTTTACCAACCGCTTACCTTAACTTTCTGGTATTTTAATTTCTCTTGTCTATAAACAGTTTCTTTGATTCTAGTAATTCAGACAGAACAAAGCACAAACCTTCGCATCCACGAAACTTGAAATTTTCTTCATATAACATGCTGCGAAATGTTACCTCTTGAGACCTCAAACCCTCGAGAGTGCACAGTGCGGGCTGTAAAACATCTTTTCTTGCTCATGTAATAAAACGTTATTCTATTACAGAAGCTTTAAGGGCAACAATTTTCTTTACAGTTTAGACCACAGTCACTCTCACCATCTTTAAAACCAATAGCCAGCGCCCTTCCATCAGGTGAGTATGTCACACTCCGCGCAGATTTCGCCATTTTACGAACATTCTTCATTCGGTGGGTCGCTAGATCCCAGACCCTCACAGTCATGTCATCGCTGACAGTCGCACAGAGCTCGTCCGTCGGGTGGGAGGCCAGGCCCCACAGTTCACCTTCCAGGTGACCCTGAAAACGAAACATGAACATTTAATAGACCGCTAAATTGACATCTGTAAGGTAAGAAGTAAGATATCCATAGTGTAAGGCCCCCTCCACACTACACTGGAGAAATTTTAAAACGGCGTTTCACTCCGAAAACGCATCAAATGTTTTCCGTCCACATTACGCCGGAGGAATTTGAAAATACAACAATCACCGGTCAATTTGGATTTTTGTTTGAGGAAAACTCGGGTAAGAAAATCACATTATTATCGTGATGTCACGGTTCTCGAAAAGCACCGTTTTTCAAAATGTTTTCCGTTCAAACTAATACGTAAACTAAAGCCGGCGTTTTTAAAATTTCTCTGGTTTGAAGAGCGCATTCGAAAAGCTCCGCTTTCGGTCGGAATTAGTGTGGACGGTAGGCCTAACCGTAAAAATAAAGCTGCGTTTCTCCGGCGTGGTGTGGATGCGTCCTAAGACAAAATTAAAAAGTTCATGCTAATTTGAATAAAGAACATCAGGTACATACAGTCACTGAAGTACCTGGATTAGAACTGTGATGGGTCCACTCTTATCTATTTCCATGATCTGAAATTCAATTTAACAAAAAAAAAAAANGCTCAGTATCTCAAAGCTCTCCTCTATAAAACGGCTAAGATGGCATTTTTGTCCCGATCATGTACTGATCCATACATTTAACTTTTACAGCAAGCCTTTTAAAATGGTCTTACTACAACGGCCTGTCCGTTGTAGAGAAGTTTAACCGTATTTTCTTACCGCTCCAAACGCCACCGATAGCATTGTCTGCATGCGAAGCTGGGAGTCGTCACCCTCCCCCTGTAGGGCTGCCGTTATCACCCCCCGTTTTCCAACCAGCTGTCCTCCTGCCAAACTCCAAAACTTGACGTGTTTTACTCCACATGTGACAAACTGGCTGTCAGAGTCTGGTCTGAACTCCGCTACAAAAATCCTCTCTGTGTGACCATGAGAACTGGCAAGTTTGCTGCCTAAAATACGTAAAAAGAGATGTATACAATTAAACAACATTTTTAAAAATTACTGCAAAAAGAAAAAAAAAGACAGAAACAAAAAACAAACCAAAAGTGTAAAATTCTAGACGAATTAAGCGTCACGCCGGCTGGCAGAAATTGATTTCAGTCCAACAATTCCCAGTACAAGAAGTACCTTGTCGACTGACTTCCGACTTCCTTCAAAATGAATAACCGATTTTTGCTTTGAATTGTTTCAATTATGGCCAGCTCAAGATAGAATGTATGCAGTTAAAGATTCAGTTGCAGGATTTTCGGTAAGTTAACATTACGTAATTCAAAAACAGTTGGATAAACACTTTTTCTAGCTTTTGAGTTTCCGAGAAGTAAGTTGTTAGAAAATTAAAATCATAATTTCCTGACATGTGTACCTACCGAGAAAATGGTATCCAAAATCCTTACATGGTTGATTTACTAGTGCTCATGCAGTTTTTTGAAGTCGAACTATTCAAGTTTCCTACAAAGTTTTGCCAAAACAGCACAGGTTTTTCTATAAGTTAAGTGTCTAAACGATTTGATTTTATTGGTCGGTATGTGATGAATGCGCTATTTACCTTCAGCCCATTTCCACACCGCAATGCTATGTGCAGCGTCGATGCCTACAGTTACAAGAAGCTTTCCGTTACAGCTGAAGTTCACTGCACACACGCCTTTGGTGTGGAATCCTTGTATGACGGATAACGTCTCCTTGGACATGGCATCCCACACGTGAACACAAGGCTCTGTACCGATCTGACCAGTAGCTACAATGTTCTGCAGAACACAAAACAACTGAATGAAGAGGAAATCTGACTCCAACCCTTTCTGAACTTTATTACTATGAGAGAATCTTTGTTTACAATATCTGCCTAATTATCAAAAGCGATACAGTTTCTGATGAAGCTACAAAAACACTAGTTCTGAATACTATGCCTTCTCTGCGAAAAGTCGTATGTTAATGACAAAATGTGAACAATGACGTCAGGAAAAATTCTCCTATGTGGCCAAGCTTCTGTGGAGACAAAGTGATCGTACTTGAAATCTCTGGTCCACAGTAGTAAAAAGAAATGTTAAAGAATTGACGCACCTTAAACTTAGGGTGTTGGTTGACAGCCAAGCATATGATATCGTCGGTGTGGTCAAGATAGAATGACTGTATTCCATTAGCTGTGCTCAGAACAATTCCCGCCCCGGCAGCGTGGTACACAATGTCTCCCTCAGGGAGGTAGTGTAAGTTGTTCCTGGTGTCAAATCCTCGATAGCCGTGAATGAATTCCAAACTGAGTTCCTGTGGATTGGAAATGAAACGATTTGCATTAGAACAATAGTTAGAGCTAATATGGGACTGACTAGTTACAATATTTGCCTCATCAACATCAGCGCTTTAGTTTGTGGTTGAGCTACAACTATACCAGGTCCGAATAAAAACTGAAATTCTAAAAAGAATTCGCGCTTTTGCCACCCAGAAGTTAGGCAGTTTCTGAAAGTTAACATCTAATTCAATATTACACCAAAAGGACTCGCACTTTCATCAATACTAAGTTTAAAACACTCGTATGTGGCAAGATCTAGAAGCTTTCTCTATGCAATTTGTACTTTCTCGAACTTTTTTTCCCTAAAATGACTAAGTGAAGCTGGGAATATAATTTTGTTGTCAATAAATCAATTTGTATAACCTGGATTTGTTGATTTCTTCTTTTCTTTCCCGAGTCCCTCTGCCGATCAAGCTGTCTGACTTTAGGAGGAGCTTTAGAGCCACGACTAACAGCAGGTCTATCACCAAAAAAAAAAAAGAAAACATAATATTATTATTAAGAATCAAAAGAAATATGCAGTAATCTTGGCGAAAATGAGTCCAGCGTTAAACGAGAGTACTCAAACTGGTAAATCACTTGTCAAGTCAAAATAAAATTAAACTTAACCGTGGAGGTGTTTGAAAACGTGTTCTCAGAGCATTGGTTTTTGAGATTTTATTTCTGCGTCAGTTTTTGTCTTCGTTTAAGTTTTGATTGAGACGATACCTGAACCACTCCAGCCAGTGTTCTACTGTCACATTCCAAATAAATTCCTCGAATTAGAGTACGCTGTGCATCGTAATTTCAACTCTTTTCTTGACGTTTGGAAATGTGACGAGATACTGTCTCTCGTGTTTCACATTTTACTTCAAGCTCGACGAGGGTTTTCTCTCGTTTGTGAGGCAGATGATGTAAACTCTCGCGTACTCTCAACTTTGCGCTGACAAGTAGAACAGGTCCTACAAAACAGTTGACTACAATGCAAAGTATGACAACCAACCTATGTTCCTCGTCATCTTGCTTCTCTCTAAGATGTGGTTTTACGCCTTTTGTAGTTCGAATCGGATTTGCATAAATCTTATCCTCGTATGTCAGATTCTTTTCTTTCTGCACGTCACTGTCGTAGCCTCCCTCTTCCTCCGAGTCTGTGTCCGAATCATCACTGTCGCCACCAGTGTCTTCTCTTTCACGGCCCCGAGCATGTGACCACACCATGACTGACGTGTCGGCTCCTCCCACTGAAATCAAGCGGCTGTCGTCATTTGTCCAGCGGACATTTGTGACATGCGCAGAATGGCCGACATATTTCTTAAACTTGGCATTCTTGCCCTGGACAAGAAATTTAAATTGAGGCATTCTGTGATAACAATTAATTTAAGTGTCATCCTGATAGAAGAACACTCGTGTTCACATTAAAAGGAAGTACTGAAATGAAAATTGAAGGTCTCTGGTGCCTAACAACTGGTTAACCAACTTGTGTTTTCTGAATGCCGAAAACTTCCTGCTTATAAGCCCCCCGATTATAGACCCATCTGCCTGTAAACAAAATATTTATTAATACTTCCGATTATAAGCCCCTCAGGATATATCCCCTCTAGTTTAAAATGAAGTGAATTCGATTTATTATGATGCTTTAACGCTTAGTTAAAAACCAGCAAACGTAAGACGTACTTCGATCAACACTGCTGTAGCTCTCATTTCGAAAAAGGCTTTCTCAGTTCGCTTATAAGCCACCCCCCTCCCCCCGTCCCCCAGATATAAGCCCCTCCGTTTATAAGCCAATTCAAAACCCACTACGAAGTTGTATAAGCCCAGGACTTATAAGCGGCAGTTTACGGGGTATGTTTGAAACGCCTGCTATGCCACTTACCTGGACTGGGTACTCAAACACCTTCACAAATCCAAAGTCATCTCCGGTGGCTAGGATCTTCTTATCCTTGGTCAAATCAACCGCGTTCACATCAGTAATGTCTGAGTGTGGCGGCCAGATTCCCGTGCAGTCTTCACCAAGAACACCGGTCCATGTGAACCAGTCAATCTCTTTAGCTTTATTGGTGGCTATTGTTTGACGCGTACCGCGGGGCGCCTCAAAGAACAGCCGCTCCTTCGCTCCAGAGTTGGTTTGAAGAAGCTTTCCTGCAGTAAACGGTATGAAACACATATGTGAAGACTAAGGACCCGACCACACTAACCCGTTTTCGTATGAAAACGCACACGTTTTGATGTGTTCTCGCCTTTCGTCCAGACCAAAACGCTCGAAAACGCTAATGAAAACGGAGGCTTTCGAAAACCGTTACAAAAGTGAAGCCTTTTGAAAACACATCGTTTTGAAAACGCTCCGTTCCTAGTGTGGAGTAGGTGAAAACAAGGGCTTTTGAAAACGATGCCGAAAAAAGTGTCATATACTGTTAATCTGATCAGCGTTTTCGGTCGTTTTAGTGCAGACGATAAGAGACGAAATCGCATTAGCCTGGTAACGGCCTAAACCATCCGGTATCCCAGAAAAGCGTGTCTAGAATATCAATTAGGATCACTCACTACACATAGTGTGTGACCGTTCAGCAAATTCAACTAAAAGCTACTGAGTTGTACTTTCATGTGGTGCAGTATGCTGTGCATGGTGGTTCTAACTTTTAAGTCTGTGGATGAAACCCTAGTGTGTGACCATTCAAATGAAAGCTATTGAGCATTTCTTTCATGTCGCGCTATACGTTTTTCCATTTCTTAAAGGGAAAATACTTAATTTACAAATTTTTATGCTCTCGATAGATCTAGGGTAAGATATCTAACAAAGTGAAGCACAGGGATTTCAAATTTAAAATCGAGATACTGACAGTCTATACCAGCATGGCCGCATTTCAAATGTTTATAAGGGGAAATCTCTTTGCACCCTGATCGCGGGACTACTTTAGTTGAACACACACACTTCTTCCGCTCACTTGTAGATGAATAATTAACAAACGAGTCTCACAGGCGTAAAGAGAAATAATAAATTAATCAGTAACTTACCTTTGGAGTCCCAGTCCACATGTGTAATGTAACTCGAACTTCCTTTACAGATTCCCACTCGTTTGCTACTCAGTACATTGTAAATGTCCACAAAATTATCATGTGAAGCAACAGCCAGATATTTTCCTTGACCTGTTAGGAGAAATGATTAACAACTTACAAGGAAGTCGAGCAAAATCATAAGCGAGACTGCATGACATTACCGCTTTCTTCTTTTCCGTAAAATCTTTTCTTTTGCTTTGCTGTAATTTACTTCCACGATCAACTACAAACGGCACGAAACAACCCAAACAACCGTGAACGATTTCGTCCCATCTCTGTAAACAGCTTTTAAAATGCGTTTATAAATTAGTGCTTACCAGGTGAAAACTTGATGTCTGATATTTCCTCTTTCCTGTGATGAAAGCCAACAATGTCGTCCAGCGTTGTAGAATCAACAACTTGAAAACTACCTGTGAGGCAAGACAAGAACATATGCCAGTGTTTGAAAATCCCCTCTTGGCCTCACAACCCAAGAACATACAGCCTCCTGTTTGGTATCCATATGGTATCTATATGGGTTGCTGGTGCTACCTCTTCTTCCAGCAACAAGCCAGGAGCAACAAGAATAGGGGTGATACTCTATTTCCCTCAAAGATTATTTCCAGTCCGTACTGCGTAGTCTCATCACCCTAATGTTTTTAAGTCTCACTCGATGGAATGCTAATCCATGTTATTCTTTACCAACCGCTTACCTTAACTTTCTGGTATTTTAATTTCTCTTGTCTATAAACAGTTTCTTTGATTCTAGTAATTCAGACAGAACAAAGCACAAACCTTCGCATCCACGAAACTTGAAATTTTCTTCATATAACATGCTGCGAAATGTTACCTCTTGAGACCTCAAACCCTCGAGAGTGCACAGTGCGGGCTGTAAAACATCTTTTCTTGCTCATGTAATAAAACGTTATTCTATTACAGAAGCTTTAAGGGCAACAATTTTCTTTACAGTTTAGACCACAGTCACTCTCACCATCTTTAAAACCAATAGCCAGCGCCCTTCCATCAGGTGAGTATGTCACACTCCGCGCAGATTTCGCCATTTTACGAACATTCTTCATTCGGTGGGTCGCTAGATCCCAGACCCTCACAGTCATGTCATCGCTGACAGTCGCACAGAGCTCGTCCGTCGGGTGGGAGGCCAGGCCCCACAGTTCACCTTCCAGGTGACCCTGAAAACGAAACATGAACATTTAATAGACCGCTAAATTGACATCTGTAAGGTAAGAAGTAAGATATCCATAGTGTAAGGCCCCCTCCACACTACACTGGAGAAATTTTAAAACGGCGTTTCACTCCGAAAACGCATCAAATGTTTTCCGTCCACATTACGCCGGAGGAATTTGAAAATACAACAATCACCGGTCAATTTGGATTTTTGTTTGAGGAAAACTCGGGTAAGAAAATCACATTATTATCGTGATGTCACGGTTCTCGAAAAGCACCGTTTTTCAAAATGTTTTCCGTTCAAACTAATACGTAAACTAAAGCCGGCGTTTTTAAAATTTCTCTGGTTTGAAGAGCGCATTCGAAAAGCTCCGCTTTCGGTCGGAATTAGTGTGGACGGTAGGCCTAACCGTAAAAATAAAGCTGCGTTTCTCCGGCGTGGTGTGGATGCGTCCTAAGACAAAATTAAAAAGTTCATGCTAATTTGAATAAAGAACATCAGGTACATACAGTCACTGAAGTACCTGGATTAGAACTGTGATGGGTCCACTCTTATCTATTTCCATGATCTGAAATTCAATTTAACAAAAAAAAAAAAAAATGATTTAGCATTACATAATCTAACTTTTAAAACTAGTCACCCAACAGCGTTTCATCCACAGAAAGTTAGAACCAGCTGCCTACAGAAAGGACGTTCTTAAAACACAAAACTGTGCTACTCGGTGACAAGACCATGTTGTAATGTCCAAATGGAGCAATTTTAGTCAAATTTTCAACCGAGTATCATAAAACCAAAATTCCACGCAAATACATGTAGCTGACGAGAAGCGCGGGAAAACGTGTGCGAATGTGTCACGATTGGTTTTGGTTTTACTTCTGATTGGATGAAAAAGTGGCGCGAGTTGTTTAAGCCAATCGCGGAGCGTAGAAGTGCAAAACCAACGAAAATGCCAATTACTTTGGATGCTCAAGTGAAAATCGCTATAAAAAGGCCTCACATTACTTCTTTTACCAAAAATAAGCTTAAGTGTATACCTCGCCATGTTTAGTGCCAACTAAAATTTTGCCCTGTCCCAGTGTTATTGCGCGGATCGGAGGAGCATCTTCCAACAGAATTGAGGACGGTGGACCAGGGCTCAGGGTAGTCCGGGCGACCCTGTAATTCTTTAGACAGCGAGAAAAATTCTCATCCCAAAGAGCAACTATTCCATCTTTACCACCAGTCACAAAACCCTGACAATAGAAATAAATCATGTGGTGAACAGCAAGATAAGCTATATGACATCAAAAGAACGACTGTGATGTAAAGAAACATTTGTCTGCATAATATGGAGCATTTTACAAAGGGTGTGGTAACTGTGCATAATGCCAGGACAAGTAAGTAGTATTGCCTGGTAAAAGTTTCAATGGTACCAGAAAGTCTCCATACTTGAACCGTTCT